CCCCAAAACCCCAAAACCCCAAAACCCCAAAACCCCAAACACTTTTTAATTATTGAATTTTTTGAGCCAAAATTTTTGTATGTTAAACCGGTTTAGACTCTCTTCAAGAAGGATCACTCCGATCCGGACTAGTCACAGGGCATTTAGTGTGTACAAAATGCCCACTCAGGTATGGCTTAACGGTATCTAAGTTGTGTATAGTCGCAAGGAAGTTATCGCTCATGGAACTTTAAATTTAGTGCTCTAGCTCTATTCGCAAGCACCTTTATTGCTTATAAGTATGGTAATATGGGCAAGTTGAATACAGAAGCAGCTCAATACACTGATAAACAACTTGAATTTCTCCTTAATAAAGTTGATGATGGGGTTAAGGACCTCTGAATGAAGCATCCCAGAATGAAGAGACCAACCTTTAAGTCAGGAGTGAGAGGTACCAGATATTTTATAGAATTCCCCATTGTCCAGAAAAATGTGGATGTGTTCCCAATCCTGGTTGCTGTTAAGCAAGTTATCAGTGAGAACAAGACTAACGGTGCCAGGATCAAGCACGATGATGCTTATCAACAGGATGACCTCATGTCTTATTTGCTCGATTATGAAGTTGATTCTACAACGGCCAGAGGAGCCAAATCTGGAGGGTCTATCTATATCAGAGGCGCTAAAGGGGAGACTTATGACAACTTCAAATTCGTCGTAGAGAAAAACACTGATTTTCATGAAGCAGATGCTCAGATAATTCTTAAGGCATATGAGGAAGCTTTCAAGCCAAAGAAGAATTTAAAGCCTCTCGGTGTTGGCAATGACAATAGAAGACCCAACCAGTCTTCTTCTAAGAAATCTAAGAAAGGAATCGCTGATGGTCTTTTTGGAAATAACCAAAATGAAGGTGAAGAGGATGATTCTCCAGAAGCTGTTCTAGAACGAGCTGGATGCACTGTATTCGTACCAGGTGTGAAGAAAAACGAACTTGATTGGGACTATTTAGCAGGCTATGATTATGTTAAAAGAGATATCGAGGACACCGTCCTCTTAGCTCTAACCCATGGCCATGTGTATGATCAAATTACTCAGGGAACTAGGATGAAGGATGAAACTAATAGGCCAAAATGTATTCTTTTTGAAGGTCCTCCAGGATGCGGAAAGACCACATCTGCTAAAATTATTTCTAGCCAAGTAAAAATTCCTCTAATTTACATGCCTCTTGAGGCAATTATGTCAAAATATTACGGAGAGAGTGAGACAAAATTAGCTGAGATCTTTGAATCTGCCCAAGATTTAGGAAAGACTATTCTCTTCATTGATGAGATAGACTCCTTAGCTACTTCAAGAGAGTCTGGAATCCATGAAGCAACAAGGAGGATTCTTTCTACTCTGCTCAGAAAAATAGATTCTTTCGAAAGTGACTCTGAAGTCTTGGTAATCTGTGCTACAAATAGGAAGAAGGATCTTGATCCAGCTCTGATCTCTAGACTGGACTTATCTGTAAGATTCGAACTGCCAGACTCTAAGACAAGGGCTCTGATCTTTCAGAGATATGCGAAACAGCTCTCAAAAGAGGACCTCACCAAGCTTGGTGAGATAAGCCTGATACTATCAGGAAGAGATATCTGAGATATCTGCAAGGATGCTGAAAGGAAGTGGGCTTCCAAGTACATCAGGAAGGAGGTAGACACATTGCTCCCCGAATACTCCATCTATGAAGATTGTACCAAGAACAGAGTTGAACAAATGAAGGACACCAATCTCAGAATGGACAAAGATCTGATCCCGAGAGGCTAGAGTATTCTGGATAATTCTATTTGTTAAATTTCAATAATTATTGAATTAGCAGGGGTTTTGGGGTTTTGGGGTTTTGGGGTTTTGGGG